CATTCCTCCAGGACATGCAGCAGGAATTGCGCGGGAACCTTAGCAATCCTCTTCGTTCCTGGTAGTAGGCTCTTGTGACTTAAGCGGAGCATCGTCATCGTCGGCGTCCGTTTTCAGGTTGCGCGGCTGCAGAGGGGCGCTGGAAAGAGGCACTCACGTCGTTCATGAGTGGCACTTCCAGTTGTTTTCGGCTCCGTACCTGTTGGGTACAGCAATTTTCCGTATCGGATAGACTATGGACGTGCATGGAGCCATGTGCTAGGTCGGTTCTGGGACATTCTATGCCAAAGACCGACCTACCGGGACAAGAATAAGCGATGACAAAAAAACATGACGCCACGAAAGGGCCCTGCACACTCCTTCCAGCCTGAGTGTACGCAGCAGAAGTGAGTCCTTCAAAGCTCGGGAAAACTGGCCCAAAACAGAAAACGCAGGCACGCTGCAACAGGAATGCAACAAACACTACGACTGCAGCCGAAGAATCAGCGCATGGGCAGGAGTTGCAAGTGGTAATTATATATTCACTGCAAGCCAGGAAAGTCTGTGAGCTGTAAATCATCAAGCAGGTGACAAATCAAACCAACTCAAGGATTTCTGACGATGCCGCAGTCGTGGACGGATGAGAACCGGCAACTGAAAGCTACTGGAGGAACAGGTACACGGGGAATGGGTGAGTGGTGCAACCATCGACCCGATCAGATGGACCTGATCCCGAACGAACAAACAAACACACAAATCGCTGTGTGATCCGATTATGAATGCCAAGAGAGAACGTCATATGGTCATGCAGAGTGGAACAAGAAGGTGCACGATACCTTCGGCACATACTTGTACGATGACGGCTTGGAGCTCAGTTTACATACAGATTGCTCGCCGTTGCTATAGCGGGCTCTAGCAGTGGTCTGAGTAGCAGCGGATGGGTCGGGTCAAAGTTGAATCGTTTCGTGGCATAACGAAGCTTGAGAAAGATCTCATGTTCCCAGCTGCATCTGGTGTCTTTCAAGTGCTGGCCGAAGGTCCCAGTTTTGTCTCGTACTCTCGAGGCGGTGGTCCTGTGGTTGGACATCTGAACGGTCGCAGGCGATGATTGCTTTAGATAGCTCAGTGGGGAGTGCGTGCCGTTCGAAGGTTTCACGGGCTTTTGTAGCTTTCGTTTTTCGTTTCTTGTGAGAGCCTTAAACGCTGTTACTGTGGCAGTTTGGGCTTCAAGTTCAGGGTCAGGTCAAGTTCACGGACCAAGAAGTGGAGTCCCTCTCTCTCTCTCTCTGCCTATCTATCTGTCTGCCTGTGTATCTATCTGTCCCTCCATCTCTCCATGCCTCTACTTTTTTTTATCTCTTTATCTCTCAATGTATCTGTCTTTCTGTCCGTGCGCACACGCAGAGACACGTCACTCTTCCCGCAGATTTCGCTTGGAAGAGCCGGGCACCTCCTTGAGACGGAAGTTCGTGACGACTTCGGAGGTATCTTGGATGCCCTGGTTGGCAGATCGGCTTGTCTGGCTTCGAAAGGGCAGCAGAGACGGGGCTTCAGCGCGAAAAACCACAGCTCTGTACACTGTAGTTTTTGAGGTTGCGCCGGGATGTTTTGCAGAAGCCATCGAGTGTTCTTAATCGGATGTGGGAGGGGGGTGGAGGCTTTGCTCCAGACACCGGTGTTCGCGGGGGCTTTGCTCGTCCCCAAGTCGTATGCTGAGGTCAAATAGCAAGCTGCCAACGGCACAGAGGTTCTATGTGCAGCTCGGAGTCGAGTTGGACCATGGTTGCCACTGCGAGCACCATCAGCGACGGCCAAGTTGCCTGTCATGCCTGTGAGCCTTACGGCCTGGCTTCTCCCTGGCGACAGCTCCGCCAAGGCGTTGAGCATGGAGTAACAGGACTTAGACATGTTCTGTTCTTTCTGTAGAGGATCCCGTCCGTTTGTTCCACCGTGTCTGACAGTGTGAATCTTTCAGACCGAGCAGCTTGCCGCAGCCACGGAACATGGGACCATCTGTGCCCGCACTTCCGAGACAGCCAGGCGGATTCCAAAACAGTGCTGGGCACGAATTTGGGGTTTTGCAGTAGTGCGGAGTCAGAGGAGACTTAACTTGCGATTGAGATGCCCGGACACGTTGAACTGCCTGTCTGCTCGCAGCGTGCGGCCGAAGTTGAGGGGGGGTCCGCCTCCGATGGTTTGACCATTGTTGTAAACAAAGAATGCCGACGCCGAACATCCGAAAGCTACCTTTTTCGTGCAACTATTAAATGTCGTGACTTAGGCCGAGGCTTGCTGAGTAGTCTCTCCAAGTGACCATGGCCTTTTCTTTTTGGCACTTGCCCCTACCGATTGAGGCCTTAGAGGCAGGCATTGGTTGAAAGAAACCTGTACTCGTGATGAGCGTGCTGAAATCTTGATCTTTGTTTGCCACTCCTCTTCGACATACAAGACGGTAGTGTGCAGTTGCTTGTGTACTCTCGTTCGAGTTAAGCATGAGACAGTGAAAGTGTGACTCCAGGCTCCGCAGCGTGCACCATGCCGCACCGAAGTCGACTTCTGGCGGCTGCCCCTGTGCCTTGAGCGGAACGGAATGTCATGGCTCCAACGTTTTTTGCTCAAGGGCTCCCGATGTCCTAAGTCCCTTTCCTGGCACCCCAAGCACTGTGATCTTCCCGCGACATACAGACATACAGAGAACCGGAGAACTGTTAAGACTCTCGGCACGCGAGCATGGGCTTGGGATGTGTGCTGCCTAGTTCTAGTCGCGGGATTGCAGCGATTGCCTTTTAGCCTATTTCTCGGCGAATTCTGGCCTGCCAGGCCGCCGCTTGATCTGGATGACATCCTCCTGGTTTCGCCCAGAAAGGATGCCGAGGCATCAGGGAGGGCACGAAGATAAAGGGCAACAAAATGCAAACCAGGCAATGAACAGTTGAGCCCTGGCGAGTACACCAGGAGATAGATCAGGTCGGGAGCACGCGCATATATCGATCTGTCCATCCGCCTGTCGATGGGTCTATCTACCTATTTTTTAATCTGCCTATCTGCCTGTCTGCCTCTCGCTCGCTCGCTCTCTCTCTCTCTCTCTCTCTCTCTCTCTCTCTCTCTATCTCTCTGTCTCTCTGTCTCTCTGCCTTTCTGTCTATCTGTCTATCTGTCTATCTTTCTGTCTCTCTATCTATCTATCTATCTATCTACCTATCTATCTATCTATCTATCTAAATACCTACCTATCTACCTATCTACCTATGTACCTATCACCTATCTACCTTTCTACCTATCTACCTATCTACCTATCTATCTATCTATTTATCTATCGATCTAGCGATCTATCGATCTATCTAGCTATATAGCTATCTAGCTATCTAAATCTTGCTAGCTATCTATCTATCTATCTATCTATCTATCTATCTATCTACGTATCTATCTACCTGCCGATCTAGTGATCTAACGATCTAACGATCTATCGATCCATCGATCGATCGATCTATCGATCTATGCATCTATCCATCCATCTACCTATCACTATCACTATCTCTACCTCTATCTCTATCTCTATCTCTATCTCTATCTCTATCTCTATCTCTATCTCTATCTCTATCTCTATCTCTATCTCTATCCCTATCTATCTGTCGATCCAACGATCTATCGATCTATCGATTTATCGATCTATCGATCTATCGATCGATCTATCGATCAATCGATCATAGTTCATCTATCCATCTGTCTGCACGTGCAACTTGATGTGCTGTCAAGCAGACGCCTGTACACATACAGACGTGTGTTCTCAGATACATTCATACATCTGCCATGCATGCATGTGTGCATGCATACACACGTACATACACAGACATGCATGACATGCATACATGCAACATGCATGGATGCTAGCTTGCATGCATGCTTGCCCGCACGCACGCGCGCACGCAGCAAGCAAGCAAGCATGCGTGCATGCATGCAGGCATGCATGCACTCACGCAAGCACGCAGGCATGCATGCATGCCTACACACATACCTACATACACAGCATAAAACCCCTACGAAATCTACCTACCTACCTGCCTACCTGCCTACCTGCCTACCTACCAAAACCAATTTTTCCGGCAGGTTGACTCGCCCCAGCAGGCCGTGGCTTCCGAGTCCACGGCCTCGCCGAAGGAAGAGGTCGGGAGCCTCCTGTGCATTTAACCATATTTTCACGGGTAAGGGTCCCTTTGATGGTTCAGGGCTGTTCTCAGGTGGAGCTTCAGAGGCAGAGCTGCCTTACAGAGTGCCGCCAGATTGCCAAGCCTCGAGCCTCATGACTCGTGACCAACTCGCGGCCAACGAATGCAAGGTTCTGAGCGCAGGCTCAGGCACTCCGAGCGACACAGGGCTCATCGAGAGGGAGGTGCCGCATCCAGCTTGGAGATGCTTGAAATTTTTTATGGTTCCTTGAGCTTTGGTGTCCAATTTGGGATTGCACCATCTACTTGTGTTTTTTGGTTGCCTCCTGTTCAGAAACTCACGTATCTTCCATCTCTTTTCTGACATGCTGCTGCCTTGTTTGAGGGGCCAGCTCTTCTCTTGGAGGACCTGGACAACTGCGTGGCGAGCGAGCCTGGGCCGCCCAGGCACATCAGAGCCTTTCCTGTCAGGCTTAGGCCGCTTAGGCCGATACCTACCTCAGGATCACTCAGGCGAGCTATCTGAGGTCATGTTGTGCGTGATCGGCCACAGAGAGTGATCGTGCATGATCGTGCATTGCAGTACTTGTGACCCACTTGCAGCCATGTCATGGAGCTCATCATCCAAAGGCATGCAGCCACCATACAGCGATTGCACAAGGCGTCCACAGTTGCTGGCTCTAGCTGCTGGTATTCATGACTCAGAAACGGGGAAGCCCATGTAAAGAAGAACCTCCCCTCCCGAACTGCATCTCTTAACAAACGGATGCGGTAGAGCCCTTGGCATCTTCATGCCTTCGAGTGCCATTCCTGTAGCGGTACAACCCGGCTTTGGTGAATTGCGTGTCGGACCCCATGTTTGTTTCAGCTGCAGTGTGGTGCCTGGTGCTGGCCGCACCGGACTCGGTCTCGGCACATGACGTAGATGTCCTGCCGTATGTGCTGGGAACCGTTACCCGGCCGCCCGAGTGGATCGCAGAACACAACAGAAAGGATCGCAAAAGGTTCAAAGAGGCTACATGCTCCTTTGGCGCTGTAGGACTGGTGAGCAACTTGGCAAGGTTGAGTTTCCAGATGAAGAACATCGTGGAGCAGTGTCCCAAGTCTGCAGAGGACACGCTGTCACACCAACCGGGGGACGAGGCTACTATTGCGGAAAAGGTGTGTTTGCTAAGCACCACAGCCATCTTCTCATCGTTGGCACAGATTTCTCGCTCCATCGTCGTCCTGGCGTCGACCTGCACAAGGACAGCTTCTGTAGCCGAGGCTTGCGCTGCTTCGGTGCAGACATTGCTTGTGCCTTGGTCCTTGATCATCGACGGGGGCGTCATCATCTCGGAAACGAAGCTGCACCAGCAAGCCTTTGAGGTTTTGTGGTTGTGCATTTTTCTGCCATTTTGTAAGTATCCACATCCCGCCTCTTCCCAGGCAGTGTGTGATAAAGCAGTCTCCGACGCAGACCTTCTTCCGAAGGGAATTCAGCCCGGTCGACGGCTGACCGGTATGGAGTTGCCCAAGTCGAGGCAAGCAGACATAGCCCAGTGTGTGTTCGATGCGGTGGATGCCAGCCGCGCGATTGCATCCATCGGGCTTTCCTTGGATTTGGTGAGCAGGTCATGCCCTGTCAATCGAATCACACGTTTCACTGAAAAGCTGAGCACGGCTGCCTGCACCGTCGATGTTTCCATCCTTCTGACGGCTTTCACCAAGCTGTCATTTTATCTGGCCCTGGCCGTAAATCATTGCTCCCCGTACAAGGAACGAGATGCTGTCTGCCTGGCGGGCGTCACCGCCATCGCAGCCGGGCTCAGCACGGCCTCTGCCGGTGGTGCAGGGGCCTGGGCCACCTGCGAAGTGGGCAACAAGAACAAGCTGATCAAAGAGGCCGCGGCCAGGGATGCAGCCCAAGCCGAGGAAGCCGAGGAAGAAGTGCAGGCTGCCATTCTCAAGGCTGCACCCTTCAATGTCGTCCGCAGGCTCCGCGAAGAGAACTCCAGTGGTAGCGAAGTGAGACGATTGGAGGAGACCTTTCTCCGTCTCGGCTACAATCTCTCGGATGACCAGGCCGACTGGTTACAGGAAAGCAGCGAGATCTTGGAGCTGCGCAGCTTCGCAGATGATGTCGTCAGGCTCTGGTTCACTGCCGTTAAAAGAGGTCTAAGATCGCTAAGTCTCTCGAGCTCTGGTCTAGCACTGTAAACCCGGGTGTACTAGGTAGAAGGCAGATCCGTGTTGGCAGGCAAATGCAGACCTTCAGGCCTGTACAGCCTGCCCAAGAAATGGACACTCTCAAGCTGGAGCTGTCAGAGCTATCCGAGGCTGGATTGGCAGTTCAGTTCATTGGCGAAACTGATCACAGCCAGATCCCATCCTGGGGAAACGACCCGTGCAACCAAGCTAAAGCTGTCCTCGAACATTCTCGAACCCTGTTCCTGAACTGCAGATTCCGGCGGTGCCCGCCGATCTACACAACGAGTCTGAGACCTTGCAATGCAGCACGAACACCGCAGCTTTGGAGTTCAGAAGCGGGCTGCTCGTCCTAAAAGCAAACCTTAAAGTCGTGCTTTTTTTGGGGAGCTGCACTGTTACACTCCATTAGCCAGGCTCGCTGGCCAGGCCCCGACGCTCGAAGACAACGTCTCAGCCTGCCAAGCGCGCTGCTCCAGGAGCCCGAAGGCACTAGGCAGGCGCTACACAGGTGAGGCTTAGGCTGCGATGTCCGGCTTGCATTTTCAAGACGGCAAGAAAACTCGCCAAACCCTCTGTAGTTCACCGTGGGTGTTGCGTGCGCTGCATTAGTGGAGGATTCCCAGCTGTGCAGCCTTCGCGTACTGGACTCCGGGGCGCCAATGCCATGCATTGGGCCACCTCCGAATGCCAACTGCAAGGCCACATGGGAAAGACGGCTGGGTCTCTGGGCCTCCGGGTTGCCGAGAGGAGCAAGTCAGTGCAGCCGCACGGGTGCTTGCAACACGTCATCGCGGCTGGGCTAATAATGGCTGTGTAAGTTTTGGCTCATGCCAAGCACGTATCGAACGGTCTTCCTCCGTCTTTCCCAGCGGGCTTCGGTGGACTTCAGAAGCCAAGCCGTAATCCAACGCTATCACTAGCAGCAGCATGCCTTGGGACTACGGCAGCGTACGCGCACGTCGTATGATCTTCCAACTGGTCCACAATAGTCATCTCTCTCATTAGTCTCTGCAGACTGCATTTTCTCCCTATAACCTTTAAGCCGCGGCCTTAAAGGCTCAGTTTAAGATCATAGCTCCAGGCGAAAGGGTTGGACACGTATATGCCAAACTATGTATGTAACTAGTGTAGACTCCCCATGCTGGAAAACTAGGAGCCAGACCCTAAGCCCTTCGATGCTAAACCGACGTGACCTTAGGTTCACATTTGTAAACCTGTTGGCCCTGCCTGAGCGACCCCACACCAGACCATTTCGCAAGATTGTTTTGCGAGGAGACTGCTACCATCCGCATGCTTCGTATCATCCTGTACTGGAGACGACTGAGCCTCAATTTGTGCAGTCTGCGCTACATTGCCAAGAGTGGTGCCAGAGGGAAAGGCACTGCGCTTATTTTTCCTATTTTACCCTTTCCGGGCTCTGCTCTCTTTCCGCAGCATCGGCGACAAAGCTCCAGCCGGTGCTGAACTTCGTGGCAGGGCCGCGTGCCTGCTCTGATCTCGTTGGCTTGGCCAAAGAGCCAGAATTTGAGCTTTGGCAGCTTCCCAAAGAGTCAGCTTTAGGCTATGCCCCCGCCGGACTAGTTATAGTGGCAGTGGCTCTGACCCTTGCTGTGTCATTCTTCAAGGGGTTGCCCTGCCGAAAAAGTTTTGAATGTTTTGAGCGCAGCTTCACACCTGTACCACAGGCTCAGCCAGATGATGCTGGGTCAGTTCTGTTGGAGGAGCACATGTAAAATAGCACATGTAAAAAGCAGGAGACTGCACTGTTGAGTCGATGCCATATTTCTTGTTCCGGGCTGTTCCACGCACGGGCAGCTTGATATTAACGTAAGGTTGAGTTTTCTGCAGTTCTTGCCCATGTTGAGGCAGCGAGTGATCGCAGCGGAGATCAGTGACATGCTGACACGGTGAGCTTCCTCGCATAGTTAAGTGGATTGCACCTGTCTCCGCGGCCACCTGTTCGTCACTACGAAAGTACAGTAATAGTTTGAGTGGCGAGGCAAACTTGCACCAGGACGGCTAGCCGTTAAAGAAGCAGATGCCTGCAGTCTGACCACGTGAACGTTTGCATGTAAATTTCACAAGGCTTCCGCAAAACAAGGAGCCGGCTGTCGATATGCATTTCGTACTGTCAAATCGCCAGGTGCAAAGCCGAGCGCTTTGACTTTGAGCAGAATCTGCGCGAGCTCGAAGAAGTGCAGGCATGGAGTTCGGAGCATGGTGTGTTTTCGGATTTTCCCTTGCGGACTTGTCTCAAGTGACCAGAAGCCTCAGAACCCGTTGAGCGCACCCGGTGGTGCAGTTCCGTGTTCAGAGGCCGAAGAGTCTGTGATTCGAAGTGACCTGAACCGCAAAGAAAGCAATACTGGTCATTTCCGCCTGATATGTCGTCAGAGAAGATTGCAAGTCTTGATGGTGTGTGGCAGCCTGCACTGGTCAGCGCCGGGTTCTGCAGCATGACGAATTCACTGGCCGGCTGGAATCCGGATTTATGTTGCCGAGTGCCGGTCGAACAACTGCAAGACCTGCTCGGAGGCGCGACTACGGGCGCTCATCGTAAAGGCTGGAGAGCAGGTCGCAGATCAGGGGTGCATAAATTGCATCATTGCGTGTCTCAGGGTGAACACGGGTTCGTGTTATATATATATACACACACATATATATATATATATACATATATATATATATGTGTGTGTGTGTCTCACTCACTCTCTCTCTCTATATATATATAATATGAGTGTATATATATATATATGTCTGTATGTATGTCTTTATGCGCTTGATTGTCTGAGTACATCATGCCGCGGCAACTTGGGAGGAGATGCGGGTGACGACCAAAGCTGGAGCCGCCCGCAAAGAAGGCTTCGAGCAGTGCAAACGCTTGCCGCACCCTGGCCCTGGCCGTGAGAACTTGCAAGGCGATGCGGCGGTTGAGGCTGATTTGGCTCTGGACCGCCCTCGATTCATACTGGGGCCATGGACTAGCCTGCAGTCAGGCTTAGAGGCTTAGAGGTTGCTGGGTAGGGCGTTCCGGGAAGGACTGGTCCCTCCCATCCCTGCCGCTGGACGTTCTGAATGCGATCCTCTGGTGCGAGGGGTAGATTGCTCTCCAGACTTCACGAGATGAATAGGCTTAGGATTTCCAAGCCGGGGCTCAATGGGTTGACTTTGCTTCCCTTTCTCAAGCCAGCGGTAATCGTGTGCTGCTCAGCTGCATGCCTTTAGTCGTGCGACCAGATTGTCAGGTGCCTTGATTGTGACAGCCTGCGCCGTGCGAGCAGCTGTTGCAAAGAGTGGGGCTCCAACGTTGAGGAACCAGATTGCCAGACACAGCACTCTTGTCTTGTTTGGCGCATGAAGAAGTTGTTGCACTTGGATTGCTGCTCCATGCTCGATGTCTATTTGCCCGACCCCACGGTCACCAACAACAAGTGCCATAAGACGTCCGTGCTTGTCCAGATAATCCGGAGTTTGTCGTCCTGCGACAGCTGCAGTCCTGACCACCTACTTGTCAGAACCTTGGGAACCTGGGCGTGATGCCGAACATGAGCATGGTGGACCTGTGAGCCCGGAAAACTGAAGATAAACTGGGTTGAGACCTTGCAGCACATTGGACCCCGCCTCCCGCACCTGTGCTTATCCTCGGGATCAAAGAGCATTCACGAGGAGCGCTGGCTCCGACTCCTTCGAGCGGATTTCGGCACCACAGCCACCAGCATGCAGCGATCACAGGCCAGGATGTGCAGATAGAGCCTTTGCTCACTTGTGCGCATTTCACAGGTGGTTTGAGCTGAGGGTTCGCGGTCGCATCAATGCAGACGAAGAAGTGCTTCATGCAACGAACCGGGAGCTAGAGCATGACCCTCGACAATGTTTTGCAATCTGGAGGCTCATGCACAGAGAAAGGCTGAAGCATCACATGAACACCTGTCGTTTGGGTGTCATAGGCGAAGAAGACACAAAGCCTTTCTCCGTGTTGCTGTATGGTCTTCTTCAGATCCAGCCCTTGGCATCCCGAAGCTGCATGGACAACGCTTGCCAACGGCAGCGGAGGCAGGGAGAACAGCTCGATCCTCCATCCTTGTCCTGGCCAGAGCGACTACGAAAGACTATAGGTTCGCTCTGGCCACGCATGACAGGACCAGAACGGAGGAGGCAGTTGTTCTACAAATAACACTGTCGGCCACAAGTGCCTTGCGGCTTTTGATGCCCTGGAGGCGACCAGGCTGCCAAACTTGCCCAAAAGCTGCCCCAGCAGCTCGACAGATGCAGAAAGAACTGGCCGACGAGCCCAAGGTCTTGTCGACAGGAACGTCCGCTGGGACGGTCGACTCTGCTACGCGCAGACGGTGCGCCTCAACAACCACACGAGCATCCCCGCGCATGGCATTCCGGGACTGCTCTTGGTGGTGAACGTCTACGTGTCCGGGACCGGATGCAACACACTGGTGGATGGGTATGCCGTCGCGGAAGCCCTAAGAGACTGGCAGTGATGGTCTTTGAATCAGCGAAGTTATCGGTAAAAACAGCCGATCACCTGCCTGACAAAACAAGGAGGAGAAGCAACCGCTCATCAAGCTGGGAGTCAACACATGCGAGATATTGATGGAGGCCATGCTGATGGCCAGGAGCAGGTATCACGAGCTTCCGCAGACGTGACCAAGAGCACGCTTCGCTCTTGCTCTCCTCTGCGAACGTCCGGGAAAATTAGTGGATAGATTCCAGTCACCGACGGCATTTAAAGCCATCGCTTGCGAGAATCACAAGTTCAGTAGTGGAATTTCGGATGCCTGGCAAGAGCAATTGGCCTTGACCAACGCTGCAAAGCACTGTGAAAGACCCGGTCACCGGAAGTGACGGCACAGGCAGTATTGGAAGCTGCAGCAAAGATGACTAAGGCGACTCGTTTCGGCTTAGCCGCTTCCCAACAGCGCGCAGCGGCGCTTGAAATTTGACTCCCAAAACGGCGTGTTGCCGTGCGGCTGGCGCCGGCACATGTGATGAGCATTTGCAGAACAAAGGAGTGCCTGCCCAGACCCTCGTCGGCGGACACCGTCTCGAGCAGTGAATTTTTCGTTTACTCTCAGCTGGAGCTAACAGCTAGGGCTATTGAAGCCAAGCCGTTTACCGAGTCAGGGCCGGAAGCCGGCGGCAACCTCCCTGGCTGAGCGACTTTGGCCAAGCTGGGGGGGATCCATCCTTGGGTGCTTGATGTGTGTACGACTAAGCAGTGTAGACGCCTCGGGCCCTTTCCGAAATAAAGCGTTAACTAGCGAGGGCTTGAAATCACCAGTGTTGTTGTGACCGCATGCCGCCACCAATGCCGCCCAGGTACCGTGGGCGCCTCCGCCGATTCCGGGCAATGCTGGGGACGCTAGAGATCCTCAAAGGTGCCACAAAGCTTTGCAGATCCCTTCAACTTGACTTGGATTTTGGACAAAGGGGTAATGGAAAAGCTAGAGGAAGCAGCGGGCGTGCATCGAGGGTACTACTGCAGGCACAGTGGACACGGACTGGGACATTGCAGGGTTCGTTGTCAAAAAGGTGTCCTGTTGACCTTTCCGGGACTTGGAAGCCTGGCCTTGCAGGCAGTGGGTGCCCCACTGGCGTCACTGGTTCGGCATCGCGACGCCGGCTCTTTGAGGCCTTGGTAGCAAGACAAAGCTTGCATCACGACAATGCCAGTTTCAGCAGTCAGCACAAGCGTAGTAGCAACAACAACAACAACAATGACAGTAATCATGATCATTTGCACAATAAGGCTGCTTGTCATAGTGACAGTAAGTGTAATAATACTAGTCATAATGCTGACTCCTGTAACAGGAAGGTTGCAGAGGCAGCAAAGACAAACGCCGAGCGGCTTTCACTGCCTTGCAAATGCAAGGGTGTTCGCACCCACATGTAGTCAATCCAATCAAACAATCAATCAATTAATCAACCAACCAATCAATCAAGCAATCAGTCAGTCAATCAGTCAGTCAATCAGTCAGTCAATCAATCAATCAGTCATTCGATAGTAAGGTAACGGCAGCTGCAATGACAATGGCAATGGTGGTCATGGTAATAACAGTGGGTCTGGTAATCGCAGATCGTAACAGTACTCGAAATAGTAACAGTGAGCAAGAACAAGGGTAGGTGGAAGAGTAAGAGCAAGGGAAACAATGATGAGGATGATAATGATGGTAGTGGTGGTGACAGTCATAGTGATTGTCGCAGTCACCTTCATGGTGATAGTAATGGAAGTAGTCACAGTATGAGTAAGAGCAGGAGCAAGAGAGATCGTAATAGAAAGACGAGAACTAGAGAGTGAAAGAGACAGAGACAGAGGACAAATTAAGCAGACCGTTGTGCAATGCATGGCTCGAGTAGAGCTTCAGAGCTGAGCGGAAGGTCAAGCCCCGAGCAAAGCAAAGCAAAGAGACAGAGAAAGAGGATTCGCAGGAGCAAGAGGAAGAGGAACGACAGGAGTAGGAGTAGGAGTAAGATTTGGGGTAAGAGAGAAGAGGAAGAGCAAATCTGCGAGGAAGAATAGGAGTGAGCGTAAGAGCGCTGGTCAGAGAAAGAGGAAGAGGCGGAGTAGGAGCATGAGTAAGAGTCAGAGTAGGGGTAAGAAGAAAAAGATAAAGACAAAGATGAAGCGAAGGAGAGGATAAGAAGGAGACTACAAGTACGAGTAACAATTATTAAAACTTGTTACCACTAGTGTTCATGTTCTGCCAAGCATTTCAGGGTTCATGCTTGATCTTTTGGGCGGTTGTGTTGGGAAAGCTCACGGAAATTAGCAAAGCCCAGCGAGAACCAAAATGCATCAGTCCCCCCTAAACGCTGCAAGCTGCAATCCGACTTGGGGTCTTCCCCGGCAGCGCCACTTCTCTGATGACTCCGTTGCAATGTCATGCCCTGCATTATCTCTCCTTTAAGAATAGCATGACCTTCCGCGAGTCTCCAACTGGCACAGTCGGGAGCCGGAACAACCAGGGACTATCTGAAAAGTCTTCCCAGCTTTACAATACTGCTAAGAGGATAGATCACCCTCGTTTGCCCCGCTTTCTCCGTCGCTGAGGTCTGCAGCGTGCCATGTCCATGCTGTCAACCCATCCATCGGCCACTCCATCCATGCCCAAACCATGATAGCATCCATGCTACCAGCCGATCCATTTGCCAGTGCATCCATGCCCAAACTATGTTAACGTCCATCCTACCAACCAGTCCATTGGCCAGTGCATCCATGCCCAAATCATGCTCATGTCGATGCTACCAACCCATCCATTGGCCAGTGATATCCTCAAACCATGTATCAGCACATTTTTCCACGCAGAAATGTCGTTTTGTTCTCGCGTTTTTTTGCTGCGCATATCATCATAACGCCAACGCCATGTTAAACAATGCTAACATGCGAACATATCGGCCTTGCATGCTTTTCCAACAGTATTCGAAGCCGGGGTGAAAAAAAAACGCATTGTGCAGAATCTGGCCTTCAGCCTCCGTCCCGTGCTGCCGCTGCACTCCCCTGTCAAAATCAAGAAATGTGGCCGCGAGAAACATCGTTTTCTTTTTTGCGTTTTTTTGCTCCGCATCTCATCATAACGGGGACGCCATGTTCAACAATGCTAGCATGCGAAAGTATCGGCCCTGCCATGCTTTTCGCCCTTTGTTCGAAGACAAACTGGGGCAAACGAGGGTGATCCACCCTACCACGAGCAGAAATCCTTGAGCGCAAGGCCCCTGAAAAGAGGGTGCCAACTTTGAAACCTAAAACCCAAAACCCGTAAACCCTAAACCCTCATTCGAAACCCTAAACCGCTTACTCCCTAAACCCTTGCACCCTGCACCCAGTGCTGCGCTGGGAGGCTTTGGAGATGCTAGCAGATCTCGGAGCCGTCTGGGACTGCCGGACCAAAAAGGGTATGAGTTTAGGGTTTAGGGGTTTAGGGTTTAGGGGTTTATGGTTTAGGGGTTTAGGGTTTAGGGTTTAGGGGTTTAAAGGGTTTAGGGTTTAATCACAACAATAGAAACAGTATCGTTGTAAGAACACGGTGCGACACCACCACCGACAAGTTTTCTACCGGTGTAATGAATGACAGCAGTACCACTATCAAAACTGGTCTTGACAGAGCCAACAGCGAAAAGAACATCAGTAATAGTGACAATAAGAATGACTAAGAATGCTTTGATGAGGAAGAATAGCACGAATAATCAGCGTCATGCGAAACAAGCGGACATAATGAGAATGAAAGCAATAGTCATAGTCGCACTAGGATTCATAAGGATCGGCCCCCCAGATTTGCCGCCAGGTATTCCCTTGAAATGATAACGTTCATGGTCTATTGTGACTTGAGCAGAGGGCGTGATGATGTCCACGGTCCAGCGTGACTTGGGAACAGAACATCTATGCCCGGTCCATGCCAGCAGTCCAAGATCTAGTGCGAGTTACAGTAGGAAGAGAGACCATCCATGCCCTAACTGTGACAACGTCCATGGTCCAATTTTACTTGGGAAGACAGCAGACATGCCCAAGCCCAAGCAGAGATATCGTCCGCGGTCCAGTGTGACGTACGAAGAGAGCATCCATGCCCGAACTGTCATAATGTCCATGGTCTAGTGCGACTTGGGGTCACGACATCCATGTCCGAACTGTGATAACATCGACGGGAAAGTGCGACTTGGGAAGAGAGTATTCATGCCCGAACCGTACTAGCTAGCGTCCACGGCCCATGGCGTGTTGTCAAGAAACATCTCGTTTTGGCACAAGCTCTTGTCAGAATTCTGGGCGCCAACTCTGCGAACAACACGCCCTGCTATGGCAAAACCAGCTCTTAGATCGTGCAGTACGTGTTTTCGGTACATCAGCCTAGCACTTGCTGTCGTGTCTTACAAAGGTGCCTGGCGGCAAAGCTTATGAGTAGAATCTGCGAGGAGTTGTTGAGCAAATAGCAAAAGCCCACAGCACCAGCACACCAACGAAAAGCGTCCTCCAATACTATATATGTTCCGCGCGGCTTTCGTACCGCAAGACGTGTGCGATTGCAGCGACAACTGCAGGAGAGCAATGCAGTGTACCCTTCGAAGGTGCACGGCTGCACTATGTAGCCTCCATGCTTTCTTCACGGCCTGCAAGATTTGACTTCAGAGCTCTGGCAATCCAACTTCACGAGGCCAGTCCAGCAGAGTCGGGGCATAGAAGAAGACCTGGGGAAGATGTTTGGCGGCTTCGGGAATCGGGTGGAGGTTCCTGGGAGGTCGATCTTCCTCCATGCAGGTTCGCGTTTCTGTGCATGCTGGAAGTGCGTTCGGGTGATATGGCCTGGATGAGATGAAACAGAGTGAGAGACCTCGGTAGTTGGACAACGAGTCGTGCCGACCCCTTCACCAACCAAAAAAAGGGCGACGGAACAGCCTGGAAACCCAGGTTTCCATTGAGGCCCAAAGCCAAGGCCTGAAATGCCCCTAAACCCTAAGCCCTAAGCCCTAAACCCTGTGGTGAATCCCTCTGGCCCAGTCCCCAACCAGCTGCCTCAGCCTGTAAGGCGTTCCGACTAAGCTAACAGTGCAGGAGGAAAAGAGGTGTCAAAAAAAAAGCCCTAAACCCCAAACCCTAAGCCCTAAACCCGAAACAACTCCGAGGTGCCAGGCATCTTGAGGAGCTCAGAGGCCTGGCGGACCTTGCTGGCCCTGCTGGAAGATGTCCCCTGACCCGAGACGGGTTTGGGAAGCAAGGGATATGGGCCGGACTTCGTTAGTTCTAGTAGTTGTGATTATGGTAAGGAGAAAGGTTCTGATGAAGGTCATGACTATGACTAGATGATTACGTAGCTTATTTTACTGTATGAGTATGAGTATAGGGCCGGATGAGTATATGAATGTTGACTATGTGACTTCACGACTACATGACGATGGCTACAACTGTGACTGTGACACTGAATGCTTCTGAACGTGACATGACAGCGACTATGACTATGACTATGACTATGATTCTTTCTGATAGTGGCCTCCTTTCCGTGGGTTTTTTCTCGGGCTCAAGAGACGAAGTCTCCACCATTGGGGGTACTTTGAGTGAGGACTTCTGGGCTGGCTTCCCTACAAAAAAACGATGCTAGTGCCGACTAGGATGGAGGTAGCGTTTTGGAGTTGGAAGACGGCTTGTGCGGAATTTGGATTGTTGACCTTTCGCCAAGTGCAGTAAATTTAGACAAGAGCGGGTGCGGCACGCTCTGCACGACAAGTGCAGCAGTCGACAAAGCTTTAATCTGTCTGAGTTTTTTTTGAGTTTAGGGTTTCGGGGTTCGTAGACGCTTTCGGCACTGGAGTTTTTGAAGCACGGGAAAATGCTTGCGAAAGACTCCTCCAAGCCAAGCCCGAGTCTCCGGACCCAGATTTCCTGCACAGCAAGACGCTGAAGGTCGGAACCTCAGATCAACAAACCTTCCGGGTCCGAGGACAGCCCACACCTGCAGTGGCTAGCTGTGCGCTGTCTCGCTGACTTGGCCGCCTCCCCAGAAGCTCAAGAAGCCGCCGAAGGCCTGGAGCTGTCTCGCGATGCGACGGCTTTAAGGTTTGTGTTCGTGGTGTTGCCAGAATTAGGTAGTAAAAGTGAGTGGTTCGTGTACATCTGGTAGTCGCACGTCCAGGAAGGGTGTGGGCCGGTCCTCGCCACTCCGAATCGGTTTTCGCATTCATTGGCAGACCTGCAGGTTCATCGTTCTGCGAAGATCATGCATCATGCTGAGCACAATACCTTGGCAAAAAGGGTGTTGTGTTCAGCAGTGCTGGGCATTGTCCCCAACCGCGTTTACAACGCACAGCCGTGAACCAAGGGGTCGGTATTGCCTCTTTTCCTTTTCGCTAGTCGCCGCACAATAATCAAATAAGTGGGCACGAGGGCAGGGGCAGCACCCCCGTCTAAAACTTGGCGAAAGAAAGAGCGAAAGATGCCAGCAGACCAACGAAAGGGGCGTGCCTCCCTCCAGGCATGGCGACGTTGCATAGGGATTGTTGTTCAGTGCAGTTTGTCCAAGGAGCTTGGGTTGTGATGTGGTCTGACATGTCAGACACCTGACCTTCGCAACCAACTGTTGCAGTGCTGCCCCTTTACAGGACGTGGAAATGTTGTTCGTGACCTGTAGATCGTGTTGAACCCCTATCCTAGATGAAGTGTCAGCTTTGCATGAGTACATGCCCCGGAGATTTGTTTTTGTAACTCTGTCTGATGATTGACACTCTCCTCTCGTACCATCTCGTACCTCGGGGGCCTGTTTGCCTTACAGATGTAGCGGAACCTAGGAAAAAAAGCGTCAGATGACTCCAGACAGACCACCAAGCAGTACGGGCATGCCACCCTGCGGTACCCGAAGCCTGGTCTGGTGAAAGAAATGGCTGCGTTCAAGAGCAGCAGAAGAGCGAGAGAGCGAGGGAGCGAGCTCTTTTGATTACGCAGCATTAACTCTTTCCCCCACTTCCCGGACGGCACTCCGAGCCTCGTCGGTGATGCTGTGAGTTTTCGACACTGTTGAGCTTGCCTTTGTGCCAGGCGAGACTTGTCTCCGGCTGCAGATTCGGGAAGAGGCGGCGAACTCCAGTTTCGATACGTTGAACTGAAGACTTGTCAGATGTCGGGAAGTACAGTACATTGAAGATAGCATGCTCCTTTGCTGTTCTTTCAGCCTGATTTGGTGTCCAGCATATTCTTTGACGCTGCCGTGTCCTGGTTATGGCCCGAAGCAGAGCAAAAAGCTGTGAAATAGATTGAAATTCACAGTCGACTTCCCGGCATCCTGGCTTCAATTGCATAAGCGACTTAGTTGTGGAGGCTTGGGCGTGTGAGCCATGGGCAACATCTGCCAATGTTGCGGAGCCAGGGAAAAAGATCCGTCCTGGCTTCCGGACTATGCGTCGGGTGGAAACACTCAGCATGGGTACGCGCTCGCGAAGAACGATCGGCAACGTATGGAAGATGCCGTGCTGATTCACGACAACATCGCAGGAAATGCCTGCTTCGCTGTCTTCGACGGTCACGGAGGCGAGAAGGCCACTCTACTGGCCAAGCAGTTTCTTCCAGAGCAGCTCGAGCATCACCTCCAACAAGACTGCAGCAAGGAGGAAGCTGCCCAACAAGCCTTCGTGGCAGTGGATGGGCTGATGCAGAACAAACTGGCGGAGGAAGCCAAGCAGTTTACAGTGGGCACTTCATCGGGCACTGTCACGTGTGTTGCCCTTCTCCAGGCCGACGAGCTCGTTATTATCAACTTAGGGGACTGCAGAGCAGTTCTTTGTGAAAACGGGAAGGTGAGCACCACCACACGAGATCACAGCCCCGAAAAAAACGACCTGGAACATCAGCGGTTGAAGGGGCTGGGCGTCAACGTCGAAGGGGGCTATGTGGATGGGAGGGTGCAGGTATCACGTGCTCTTGGAGATATAGTGGATAAGACCGGAAAGAAGATCCATGGTCTCAGCAGCATGCCTGATGTCACCGTCATCAAAGTGAAGCCAACGACAGAGTTCGTCATCCTTGCCACAGACGGAGTGTGGGACGGCCTGCGCGAGCAGTTAGCGGTCACCACCGCTAGGAAGGTCTTGCGAGAGACCAAGTCTGCAGAAGGAGCTGCAACAGCCGTTCTAGAAGCAGCAGGGAAGGCTACCAAGGCCGACAACGCAGCGGTGATTGTTTTGGCACTTAATGTGCCAGAGCCGCTCCCGAAACGGGATCCGGCCCAGAATCGCTTCCGGCTGAGCTCCAAGACGGAGTGAAGCCTTCGACTTTGCACGTGCATGTCGCTGATGTCTCGCAGGTTTGTTCCTGCTGTTCCAGGAGGCGTCACCATCCAACCACGTTTGAAGGAATTTGAACAAACGGGCTCTTTCTCCCTTCGCCAAACATCCACCATGGACCATGGATGCAGTTTCGAGTCTCTAGTCATTGCTTTTCAATGGTGTTGTGCATGTTCTTGATACAATTTGAAGCATGGTGGGCAGTGGATGGCAGACATCTGGCAATAGAGAGGATCTCAGCTGTCAGAATTTGGTTGATAAAGAGTTCGGTGTCTAGTCTAGGTTGGAGGGTTTCGGTTTTCCGCTGCAGGATACAGGGGTTAGGAGAAGTTGAGTTCTGAGACGGGCTGAGGCTGCAAGCACGAGGGCTTTGATCACGATTTGCTTCCTGCTACCTGCGGCAGGTTGTCCGGAAAGGTGTGCTTGTGCGCGCCCTGCTGGAGGGTGATGACATCGACCTAGTCGAGGCCGAGATGCTCTTTTATCTTTTCTCGGGCTTTCGTGCCGATGATGAAGCAAGCGGTGGGATTCCACACTTCACAGGTTCAAGAGCTAGACTTCGTAGGTGCATGATCAGTGTTTCGGCTGGGCCAGGGCCTCTCAGACAGCCATAGCTGTCATCTGGAAAGATGTCTCCGAAAACGCACTGTGCCGTGCAGGCGTTCTCCCGGCTGATGCTGAACCTCCACGGCTCGAGCCATGGCTCCCATTACGGAGAAAGGGGCCCAGAGCCGGGCAGACGTCGGGCGCTAGTGTCGTGTCGAGTGCGGCCTACAAAGGAAGATCACGGCTCCGGACGTTTCCAGAGAAAGTGTCAACCCCAGCAGTGACAGCAACGAGCCACCACCTCCGCCGCCGCCACCACTACCAACAACAACAGCAGC